CGTCGCGTCTCTCGTCGCCTGAAAACCTACATTCAGCGTGAATTTCATTGAAATAGTTTGCAGTAAAAGTTTATTATTCCCGATTGAAGAGCCCTCCACCGAGTAGGTTCGTATGGACGTCATGCAGCTTTAACCGTTTCTCGAATGTCGCGCGTTTTCAACAGGGGAGGGAAACTTCTCCCCCTCGCCCCTTCCCTCTCCCCTGACGAACGTCTGCAGGAGCGCATAGAACAATCGGCAATGTTATCTCGCGTAAGATCTTGCTTGATCGAAATACCTAGCGGAAATGGCCGGTCCAACTGTTAACTTCTTCCCGTGCGCCTCGACGAAATAGTCTCGCCCGATTCGCCCGGCGCCTTCGCCGCAGTTCGCTGTAAAATGCAGATACAGCCGGCAGCCGAAAAGCGAGGGCGCAGTTTGGAAATGAAATTTCGCGGGAATTTATGATAGTTTGCACAATAAAAGTTACCGTAGCTATCCGCGCAATCGTATCCCATGATAGAACCGCGGTATAACATATATGTATGTATAACGGAATATTCGTTTTACACTCTACACATCGGACTACGCGATATGCCACGGGATAAAAATATACGATGAAATAACAAACGCAAATCAGGCCGCGGCATTATATAATGTAAACTCTGTAACTGTGTTTAATTCTAAATCCACCGCAGATACCATTTGCGATTTATTAAATATACGTGTTTTTGAGAATTTGTTTGTGTAATAGAAGCAATATTTTTGTTAACGTTTCAACGACTGTTTTCTGAAATGACTTTGTTGAAAATGTCGTGTAATTGTTCTTCTACAGCTTACTAATTTAAAGTTGACTTCACGCAAATAAAATAATTTCACAAATAATTGTAAAAGGTAGAAAAAATGAAATAACGCAAGTAAAGTTTAACAGATTTTACTGACTGAACTCATCTATTTCATATTACGCTAAAAGCACGCTTTTATTGTGTAACTCGTTACAATGCAACTATACTTTAATTACACTAGACTGAAATCATATTCAGTGCGATGGAAATTGAAAAAATGCCATTTAATATTATACTTATACTTAATTTTAGACAGAATGTAATGTGGAAGAATACTGTAGTCGGTGGTTTCTTCCTAATCGCCGCGGAGAGAGAGGGTAATCATTATTGCATAAACGGCGGCAATATGGCAACAAAAAGCACAGAGGTAGACAAAGTGAAGCAGGAACTTAATGAGAAACCATTGAATCACCTTTGGCACCGTCAAACGCTGTTGCGGTTTCCGGCGCGGTTAAAGGTGATGAAGTGTGCTAAGAAAACACCGAAGTGCGCCGTGGAAACGTAGATAGACAAACGCGGGGGCGGTTGCCTCTGAGGCAAGAAGCGTGACCCTTAATTTCGTTTCTCGTTAAATCGTTCTTTAACGAGAAAATAAGGCCGTCTTTGAGTCGGAACTCTTGAAATACAAAGATGCGATTTCCCTGGCGGTATGTACGGCAATGTCGAACGAGATGAGACATAAATGTCGCGGAGTGAAATTGACGTTCCCTTTGTCGCGATTGTCACTGATAGGATTCCGAATTCCGTACAATTTGTCAGTACAGTCAAGAACCTCTCTGCTTTTTAAAAGCACACGAGCCTAAGACATTTAAATTTAATCTCCTGTAATTCTTCCCGAGACAGACGCGCTCGATAATAGGCCTCGCCGGACGTCTCGTACTTTAGGTTTACCTAGCGATTCAAGCGACAGGTATTTCAAGATCAAGCGATATAGTTAATAGCTCCTGCACATTTCACGGTTATTGTCATCTCCGTTTAGATAACGCGCGACTATACGAGAGCTCACGTTAAATACCTATTCCAAAACTGTTCGCAGGTACGTTGCACGATGGCAGAAATTCATATTCATTAACTGCGGACTGTTATGCACGAAATTCACGGTACATCTAGTATGTAATGCATTGTGTCTTTCGAGCGGAGCCGAGTCATGTTATTAAGCACTCCGTGCCATACCGACACATGGGCTTACCTTAATCAAAGCTTGTTAATCAGTTTGATAACGACTTTCCGAGGACGTGCTTGCGAATTCCAGCAGTTTCACTCGATTCTCACTCCCATTATCATTAACACGTTGAATACTCTGACGGCCATTATGACAGCGGCATGTCTCGTTGATGCGTGCATAAAATTTAACGTACTACACTGTATCACCAATCAAGTCGAGACAACGAGCGTATTTACGCGGACCCGGAGCGTCAAGTGAGCGTAAAAGAAATTTAAAGCGAAATCCGAGAGCTTTAAATATTTATTGAATCAGCACGGCGCATTTTTCAATAACGATTGTACAAGACGTAGGAATTTTAGGCCGCATTAAAACTTTCCAGTCTCGTCTTCCTGATGCACAATATAAAAACTCTCATCTCGACACTTTAGCCAAGTTGGACCTACAAAACCATTTACTCTGACATTTTACCATCGCAATGAATTTCAAGTTGCTTCAGGCGCGTTATTCGTCCTTTTTTTTCATTTCCGCCGACGTAGGCGCGACAATTAACACTGCGAAGTGTTTTATAATAAAGCACTTGGGGGCATAATTAACACTGTCCTGTATCCGAGCCGCCGTGCTTAAAAGACCTAAAAGTAACTCAAACTTATCTCGAAGCTTGTCCCTCTGTACTGTCTTTCGCTCTCTTTCCTTCAACGATATTTTCCACTCTATCCCGCTTCCTTTCTTCCATCTTTCTGTTTCCCGTTCTCCGCGAGTTCTTTGTGCCCATAAATAATTCAGATGCTCGGAACGTAAAGACATTAACAAAGGTAAAAGCTTTTAAGGGAGACCGGCTTGAATCTTGAACTCGTTACACTGCTTTAACGATAATAACTCTGCAATCAGGTCGGACGATGCATTGTCTAGACATGCGTGCAGACGTGCCAGCATCAAACGTTTGTAAGTGAATAATAGTCGAAGTGATTAATCAAGTACTTAGCTCGCGACAGGTTTATCTTGATCAGATGCATAGTACACGGCAGAAAGGAACATTTATTAACGTGAGTGATGCCAAAGCGAATAATCGTCGATGTTATTTTATCCCTTACATTTAAGAAATTTCTCTATTCTTTTGTTTTACTCGAAGAAATTACATTACAGCATGACGAAAATATATCAGGATATATCAGGATTAATGTAAGATCAATAGAGTTAAATAAGACCCCTAGATCAAATAACCAACGAGAATGCTATGTAGGTAGCCCAATAATTCAAATCTTATTATTGAACAATAAAAAGTCGTGTGTTCCAATGTTAAAATTTTCTTGTGTTACCAAGATTTGACTCTTACTTTAATGTAAAATTAACATAAAACGTATATGTTATTATTTTCGTAACACTTTTATGTGTTATATTTATATGTAAACCTAATAACTTGACGCTTTATGTATATTATTTAAAAATTGAATATTATTTTGAGTTCTTTTAACACACCTATTTTACAAAATTAACTAAAACATGTGATATTGACATTTCTTAAAAATTAATTCAACTATTCTGATTTGTGACTATTCGTACAGTTTACTTATCCTGTCTGTTTTTATTACATCACACTTAAGATTGAAAGAACATAAACATAAACGTGGAGAGTAGTGTTAATTAATTAACATTTATAATTTGTCACAAAGTAACACACCCGATAAATGTTATTTTAGCTTCAAATTTAGAGTGGACTTTTTGGGACATGTAAAAATTGTTAACATTAACATTTTATTTTTTACTGCGTACGTGAATTCACATACCGTTTTTCCATCTGTCTTGTGCGCCGATTTCTTTTCGGACATAACACAGTTTAGTTAGATAAAATATTGTCGTCAGTGAATGTAAGACCATTTATTCAAATATTTTTAGCAGAGTTTCGAATTTCACGTGATTCAGGCAATTATCAATGGCTGGCTCGTAAAATAATAATAATTTTACGATATAATGTAACCTTTATAAAAAATAAACAAATAATAAGGATAGCGTCGACAATTAACTGGCACAATATATTTCGTTTAGAACATACAACGTTTCGACCAGTAATACTGGTCCTTATCAAGTATTAAAAAATTCTTAACAACCCATTAGATGTGACAGGAAAAAATGGGTAACATTGGTAATAATATAAGAATACATGGAGGAACGAATCAGTCTGCACAGTAACACATATGGAGTAGATATAAAATATTTTAAAAGACGTCAATTGTTGTGAAAGGTCGGTAGAAGACTGTTTTTTAATACTTGATAAGGACCAGTATTACTGGTCGAAACGTTGTATGTTCTAAACGAAATATATTGTGCCAGTTAATTGTCGACGTTATCCTTATTATTTGTTCTTTATTTACTGGCGATCCATCTCTTCAAGTTTTTATAAAAAATAAACTTTGGCGGAAAAAATTGTTATTCGTTTCAATATTATCGTGTTGTATCTTTCATAATTATTTCATCTCACAATTTCGCAATTACTCAGCAATGAGTATTAATCGTTTGTGCGCAAGGTAACGCGTAAAAAAATACAAATGAATAGTAGTAGCTTATTTTATAATTAATTAACACTATAGTCTGTTTTAGAGAAAAATTAATGTTCGTAATGGCCGAGACAACGGTAATTTAACAGATTATGATAAATAGGTGCCGGTTACACTAAACCAGGGCCACGCTGACTCTCCAGTTTACAATATTTTCTATCCCTACCATATGTATACCACGGGGTGTAATTTTGAAAAGGACAACAAATTGCTAATCAGACTTAATTAGCTCCGACGGTCGTTGCAACTTAGGGATCTTGAGTTCCCTCTGTGGGGAAATCTCCATATTTCCTTGCAAGTGCACTTGAGCATCTAAATTTATAACTGTTTACGTTTCGTTAAATGATAATAATTATTAGAAAGATATAAGTGCAAAAGAAATATCTCGTTCTAATTGCTACGTTATATTTATAATGTATTTTATTTTGTTGTTCTAACACACCTACATTGTTGTTGCAGACGAATTGCCCCGATTCGCCGAGGAAATCCAAAACGTGACAGTAAGCGTGGGACGTGATGCTCTGTTGGCTTGCGTGGTGGATAACCTACGACATTATAAGGTACTTAAAATTTAACTATCTTTATTACTATTCTATGTATGTCAAATGTCATGTAGAACATGGTTAGCCACTCGGATTATTTTTGCGTTAAATCCATCGATTACAGTCGTTTGGCACAATTAATGGTATAACCTTTGGTATTATAAGGTAACATGCTTAAAATGAAATTTCTTTCCCGTTTCTGTTCCACATGTGTCGGATTTCATATGGCATACTGTTATCGTATAATTATTCGCGTGCTCCCCGAGGCAAATTCGAGGCCATCGATTGAAACATTTAGAAAAATTGAGGTCGCCTATCTATATTTATTGTAATCGAAAATATCAAAATTCTTTCCCTTCCTCCCCCTCTCCCTTCCCCCTTCTCTCTTTCTCTCGCTTCTTTTCTTCTACATTATTATTTCTTGCCCCATTCACGTTGTGCGAAATGATAGCAATGAGAATGGATATAGAACAGGATAAATACAGTACCTGCTACTAATACAAGTGGATGTTCTTATTATATGAAAAGCAAGTATTAGCACGAATATAATTTTTATATGTCAAAGTAAGAATTCAATACTTGGCTAAAACTGTCTTCAGATTTCGGTATAGAAACGTTGCTATTTATTATTTTTTGATGCCAAGTATTTGATTATGTTTGCGCTGCATTTTATGTGTGCAGCACTTTAATATACCCGTATGTTCTGCATATATTTCTGTGTTCTGATTCTTCCACGGTTTCTTTTATTGCAAGACACATAAAATAACAAATGGAATACTGTTCTGAATTCTGACACGAATTATAAATAGTCTGAAGTGAGCTTAAGAAAACGTTTTCAACATGGCAAATTGCTATTAAGCAAGATTCGAACTTTTCTTGCCTCTCCGTGCAAGAAGCGCTTGCACAAATTAAATGAAGATAGTATCTACTGAAATCCCTACGGCGTTTATGGTCCGTAGACTGCGAATTGGACGGTCCTAGTTTACGTACCGTTATCAAAGACCTCGCATAATTGCTTCATTTTCCTTCAGTTAATTGAGATGACGTAACAATAGGATACAATTCATTTTGCCGAGTAGCGACAACACTCGCCAGGAATAATGCAGCCCGACGTAAGCTAATAATACGTTCTTTCTTTCCTGAAATGATGATCAGAATCAAGTAGAAGTTTATAAATTATTCTGTATCGCGAGCTAACTCTACTCGTCACGGATTTTAGTACATCTTATTAAGCGAGTAAATTAAATTCATACGTTTCCTTTAAGCGCATTTCAGGAATGTGTCTCGGTATATGTAATATAATCTGCAAGGTATCCGCCACCCGTCTTTTGAAAATTTAATGAGAGATGAAAGATTTATGTTCTCGTCGTTCGACGAGCTTTCGTACACTCGGTATTCGCTCCTCGCATTCCGAGGAGAAAGCATATTTCGCATTCAAAAATTTTCTTCCAACGGCATTTCGATTCTACTATCCATTCATCCTTCTAATCGAAAGGCTTTTATATGAAAATGCGTTAAATGCTTTTCTATGTTGCAGCTGAGACATTCTCAGTTGTAAATTTTTATATCGAGAATTATCATATCTTTTCTTGTAAAAATACTTTAAAGTATGATACCGTACATACGTCTTAATCTACATAATGAACTGGGTTCTTGTTTTAAAGTTATTAATATACTAATAATAATGTGAACTTTCTTATACTCGTAACATTTTGATGTTAAATCTTATGTGCTTGTTCTTCCTTAAAAAAAAAACAGAAATGGCATTTACATTTATCTTTGATTATAAAAGCGTTTCTATTTCATAAATGTGTTTAAATTATTTTGAATTCAACTTAATTTTAAACTTAGGTCATACGTAATCTTTTTATATAAATTTCTATTCAGATTTCGTTGTTAACGACAACACTGTCAAATGTGGGATGGACTTTCATCCGTTATGTCGATGAGAATACGTCAAGAATTGTGTCGAGATGAGTTATTAAAGCGATATTGTAACGAATACTACGAAACGTCGTTCGGTACGAGCGTGTAAGTGCGCGTTCGCGTGTATACGCATACAACACGTAGCACAGTCACGCATACATGCACAGTATAAATACATATAAGTCACGCCTACATACAATATAAATACATAAGAGCCGAGTACATACAGGGAGCTAAAATATTCGCGAGTGAGCTGATCTTTTCTACGGGCGATACTCTCCAGTCGTACTACTGGAAACACGAAACATACTTGAGTTGCGCTTGCGGTGGAAATTATACTGCTGTAGAATTCGCGAGACTTCGGGCATGTTTTGCATGCTCAAGAAACCTCTTGCCCGTATCGAAAATTCAACGACGAAAGTGTGTGAGAGACAGGCGGTAGTAGGAAGAAGAGTGAGTAGTTCTAAGCCTCCGTCAGTTCTCGAGATGTATGTATATGAGGGTTGGAGAGTACAACTTTACCCGATTATTAAGAGGACGAAACGAATACGATATTTTTCAGCGAGACATGTATAAACTCGTTAGAATATATGTTCAAAATTATTGTGAATGAAAAAGAGATATCATATATCAGTTACGTCGAAATCTCATATACAAGACAAATTTTACAGACGAATCGAATATTGAATAACGTCTATGAAATACATCGGTTTTTTCAAAGAGAAAAATGTATAGAAATATACTTTTTTATTTAAAATATAGTTGGCTTAGTTTAAATGGCAAATAAGTAAGTGTTATCTAACTATTTATCATTCAATACTGTGCACCACAATTAATCTTGCGTTTTATTACTATAATTAAACAAAATGGGAATAGGAGACGTTAAAGATACTGCGATAATTGAAAAAATTGGCAAAGCGGGAGTGTAAAGTTGAAAAGAGTTTAAAAGAAATATGTTTTATCGTATGTTTCAGGTGGCATGGGTGCGCGTCGACACGCAAACTATATTGTCGATTCATCAGAACGTAATTACTCAGAATCCCCGAATCACATTATCGTACAATGATCACCGCTCGTGGTATCTTCATATAAAGGAAGTTCAGGAAGTTGATCGCGGATGGTACATGTGCCAGGTGAATACGGATCCAATGAAGAGTCGTCAGGGTTACGTACAAGTTGTAGGTGAGCAATGTTTTACGTCAATTTTAAAAAAAATACACACACCTCTTATACTTGGAGTCATTTGTACATTACAGTCTTGTAGAAAGTTATATTTCTATCACCGTATCATTCAATAACTCGAACAAATCGTTGTAAAAGTACGTGTCTGCGGACAAGCGTATAAAGAATTCAAATTCACGCAAATATAACTGTTGCGAAAGTATAATTTGTCAAACGTTTGCGTTACAGTACCACCGTCGATTATTACCAAAGAGACCAGCACCGACATGGTGGTCCGCGAAGCCTCCAATGTGACGTTGACGTGCAAAGCGACCGGATATCCGGAGCCTTACGTCATGTGGCGACGGGAGGATGGCAAGAACATAAATTATAATGGCGAGAGTGGTGAGTCACAATTAATTTACCATGATTTTCGCGAATAGACAACCGAGTAGAGTTGATGATATTCGGAGCTTAACGCCGGATAGGATAGTTATAACTTTCATAATGCTGCCGATAGACGTGCCGGTCGATAACACATATCGCATGCAAATGATAAATGATGCCAAATTGCTTCCCCCTAAATTGGTCACTCCTAGATTGCTATTTCTGTTTAAATATACGTTATACTTGCGGATTAATCACGAGATTATGCTCGCGATCAACGACGTTCATTTAGTTGAAGTTATTATTTTACCAGGTGCTTAGAACGTTTAAGGACGAATTTATAATTTCACACAACTTATAAGTGGCATAGTATCCCAATATCATAATATCTGATCGAGACATTAAATTTTAGTTCTTGCTAAAACATAGTATTTATTGAAAATGTAGAAATTTTGTTGTTCTCGTAATTTGAATATTAACTAATATTAATCTTGAAGTTATGTTTTCGTAGATATAATTTCGAGATAAAATAAATAAACACACATATAGGTAATATATGTATATACATAGATAATAGACGCGATAAAGCTCTCGAAAGCGAAACAATACGTTGGCCATTAGCTTACAGATAATATCGTGATAATTAAATGTATCATCTGCGTATTGCGGAATGTTTTATAAATGCTCCGATATTGAACGCAACTGTATGTGTTTATGTCAGCGATTATGACTAATTAAATCCATTTTTAGACATAATCACTTTTTATGTCTTGCATTTACGGAAAATTGAAGTTGCATTATACGCAATATATGAAAGTTAATACGTTTCTTTCGTGTTCTATGAATAATATGATTTATGTGAGAGAATACAATAATACAGACGACTACATCTCCAAACCGGTATCATCCATCCCGCTAACGGATGTTGTGCTTTAACGATTAATTATTCCTCTCCTAGTCCAACATCAAAATTCGGTTGAGTAAGCGTGGCCAGAACGCAATTATTCAGGTGCGCGATATAATCACTGCATACCGTCAAACTATAGTGTAATTTGTCCAAAAGTGCAATTGCATAGAGATGGGGTATGCTGTTTCAATTTCTTTAATGCGTGCGCCACAAATTATCAAAACACTGCTCCGCGCTGAATTTCTCGGGACGTCGTTTAATCCCTACTATATTTTTAAATGAATTGAACGTAGGCGCTTGCAGCAATAGCCGAGTAATATTTTCCATAAAAAATAAAATGGTTATTTATAGTCGTAAGTGCAATAAGAGGTTACTTCTGATTCAACTTAAAGTGACGGCAGTGAATAAGTAAAGCATTTATTGAATTATGTTAGTACCTGCTGTAAAAGATTGACAATCATTAGACACCAATATAAATAATGCACCGATGATAGCGCGGTCGTGACATCCTTGTCGTTTCAACATGATAAAAATAACCATACGACATTCCAAGAACACGTCTACCTCCTTGAATCCGTCTAGATCGATGCTAATTACCCTCTTAATTACTAATTATGACGAGACCAAAAAGTACAAGCCAGTCTGTCGGTCGGAGTTGAAATGCACGGGAAGGCGAGACGTCAAACCGTCTGTAGATTCCGGAGGGTTTCCTCAATAAAGGATAAAGGTTGGATTTAATTTCTGCGCGCTAATTTAAATTTTCATTGCCTTCCAAGCATACGCCGAGTGGCGACGCTCAGAGGATCGTCAGATCGTAAACCACTACTCTATACTAAGCCGGCCGTATAAACTGATACTGATAAATATGGATGTCGCGCGTTCTGATATGGAAAAATAGTCGATTACGTAGCGTGATCCACTGATTATCCGCTGGCGAAGTGATGCGCGATTTATTATAAGCCAATAAAACAAATTAATTGGAAACGTTCTTACATTAAAATCGACTTAGGGTGTCAATAAATGCATGCAATTTATTTTATTTGCGTTTGTAGTTCTATCTATTGACATTCTTATTCACGAAGTAATTATTTGTATGCGTATATCGTTTTATTTTGTTCTTACAATTGATTTGTGCATAAAGTCAACGATAATTAAAACAATATTTTTGAGGAATTCTTACGTAGCCAGAAGGTCACGAAATAATTTTCTTTTTATTCTTCTTTTCCTTCGAATGTGCACTCGTCATTGCACTCAATTTGACAATGTTATTTCACAATTTTACAATTACAGATACATTATTAAAAACTCTGCTAGAAACCATTATAAACACGTCCGAATAATATTAAAACGAAAACGTTAATTTGATATTCAGAGAATAAAGATGAAGAAAATGTAAACTATGCTTTAAATTACGTCTATTAGTATTTTTTAATTATGCCTGCAGAAAGTAAAATATAATAATACAAATATAATATTAATTCAGGATTATCAATAAAATTTATTAATTTTCAAAACAGTATTCTTCATTAATTTATTTCTGGGAAAATTAAATTTGTTAGTAACAATAATTGCTATTTTTAGTTTTGTGATAAGATAAAAGCTCGTATATCCAAGTATCGTTGATTAAAACGCAAATGCAAATGAGCATGACATCGCAAAAAGTTTCATCTCTTTTCGCGTTGTTCGGGCATTTGTAATGCATTAGAAAATGCAAGCGAATTTCATTGTAAATGGAAGTTGGTCATTGAACACGAACGTATTAGAAAAATCCGATAATGCGGATATGGAAAATATTATTGGCGCGGTGAGTGTCGCGTCGATTATATGTATTATTTTAAATAAGGATAATGCACTCGCGTAACAAATATTTACTGCCTTGAAAATATATGTTGGAAAGAACTTAAACTGATAGCTGACGTTATAAGATGACATTTCGTAACATTACTGTGTAAAGAGGAAATAAACTTTTATGCTCGCGCATAGCGCATGACCGTTGAGGGGTTTAACACCTTTTAGATGCTATGAATATTTTATTTATATCGAACCATTACACATACTTTATCCATTTGCATAAACTGTTTTCTTCTCCGAAAATGTCTACTCATATCTTTTTTTTCGATTCTTTCATTTTCTCTTTAAAATATTCAGTATTTAGTCTAGAGAATGGAAGTTGTCGTGTTCGAAACTCCCGTTGGAAACTTTCCAAACCGCTGATATTTTAGTAATCTTTAAAGATTTCGTACTTCCTTAAATAATATTTCAGAATTACAGATCCGAGTACTTGCTAGAAACCTAAAATGTATTTTGCTCAATTATTATGCCATTACGATATTACGATATTAAAATATAACGATATTACGAAATTACTATAAAATTAAATATAAATTTGTGATGACGTAAAAAATTAAATGATGATTCCACTCACATTCTTTAGAAATTAGTCATTCCATCCTGTAATTAGTAATCTGTAAGGTTACCGGGCGTACGTCGATATGTGATCGATATCAATCGACGGAGAGAGATGCTAACTCTCCTGGTAAGCCGGCGGTTCGTCATTCGGGAGAGGCGTCAGATTATCCACGTAATTGGACGAAATATCGCGGTGGTGAATATGGTCCGCGTTCGAGCCGTACGACCGCGTTACTAACTGATGTGTTGGCCTCTGGGGACGGGCTAACGCCATTACTTCTCACCTGATAGCCTCCAGACACCCACCAACCCTCCGAGAAAATATAGATGGTTGTCGGCTTTTCTTGCTTCCTCCCGGGCCGAAGGTATAGCCCATCCGTGCGCAGTCTGCCCTTTCGACCCCCACCTCGGGGCGAGTAACCGAAAAAGAATGGCTGAGAGAGATGAGAAAGCAAATCGAATTTAGCAAAACTATCGCGCGTCGAGGTGGTGCCGCTGTTGGACGTGATGGTGGTGGTGGTGGTGCGAGGCACCTGCAGGTACAAGGGAGATTTACCTCTGGCGGACAGGTACCGGAACTGATCGTGCGGAAGGGCGATGGCGAGAACACGAGAGAAAAGATAAAAGGAAGGCGCGGGCGGGAAATTAGAGCGCCGGGGAGGAGGAAGGGGAGGAGGCCATGAGGGGCAAATAAACGACGAAGGCGGCGGAAACGAATCGTCGTGCCTTTAATGCGATCGTTCATAAGAGCGATAACGCGGCGCAATTCAGCGACGCGTCCACGGACGTCGTGACCGGAGCTAAGGGTGAATTGGCACCGGATACAGTCCGGCAGAGCCGGAGGAGCCTGGGGATATTCTGGCGTCCGGCAGCCCCGATACAGGGGGTTTATCTGCGCGCACAGGCGAAAATCCACCCTCCACCATACTTATGGAAATGCGTATACATCGACACTGGTCGATGCCGCACTCGCCCAGTGCTTCGTGCCCGGGAAACCCGATTGGTTTCTTCCACCCTTCTCGAGATGTACGAGTCCTCGAGCTCGGTCCCGCTACCTGTCCGTCGTGTTCGCGCGCCTCCATTCCCATCGGCGCTGGTCGAGCGGACCGGACCTGGTCCTTCTCCTGGTCTATCTCCCTCGATACAGGAACGACTCTAAACTCGTTCTCGGGCACGTATGTGTAACAGACGTGTACATACCGCGCAAACCATCCACTCGATCGTACACACCTACACGATTACCGCGGATCAATGTAGCCGCGCGCCCGTGATTATGTGTGTACACACGAATTGAAGCACATATGTACTGTTCACCGACTGTTAAATGTACATACACGTGAAGTCATGGACGCGCGCGTACGCCACCCCCTCGTCCACCTGTTTATACCAAGAAGCGAAGGTAGATAGGAAGCGAGAGACACATACATGGACGCGCACCCCGAGTATTTCCGTCACCGATACTCTCACGAGTCCTGGCAAGACCTTCCCCCGTTAATGCGGCCACGGCTTGTCGACGCGAGGCCGACATAACGCGACGCGACTGGAAAATCGAAACCGACAACGAGCCGAGTTTCCCCGCCGGTGTACCAGGGAGACGAACGTACAGGAGGAGAATAGGAGTCGATGTGCATCGGGTATAAAGCACGGGCGCAAAGTCTCGGCGATACCCTCGCACTCATTTTGCGCTCACACATCCATCGCT